GAACAAAGTCATCCTGTGACATTTAGATCAGGGTCTCTTTCCAGAAAGGGGAGACATCCACCTCAAGGCCAGGATCCCGGAGTCTGCTTCTATTTCCCAACTTCTTCAGGTTACCTCAAGGATTTCTTGTTAAAGGATTCTTAAAATAGATGTGATGGTACACGCTTGTGATCCCAGGACTCAGAAGGCCGAAGCAGGAAGATCGATTTGAGTTTGAGGCTGACCTGAACTACACAGTGAGACCATGTCTCAAAAGACGAAAAACTTTGCCAGGGATTTAGGGTGGTGGTGCCACTGTCTGCCTCAAAGGTTCAAGGTTCTGAGCTCGATCCCCAGTACCAAAACAACAACAACAACAACAACAACAACTAACCCATACAAAAAAAACAAGACAAAAAGCTAAACAAACAAAAAATTATTAAAACAATCAAAAATCTTCAGAGCAATCAACACCAGTGGTCAAATGACCACATGGCAAAGCCACCTTTAAAACACAAATCTCTTTGTTTTTACACAACTGCTGAAAATAGTGTACACGGGCTGGGGATTTAGCTCAGTGGTTCCACTGCCTGCCTCAAAACCACAAGGTCCTGAGTTCGATCCCTAGTACCAGGAAAAAAAATAGTGTACCGGGGAAAAAAGAGAGTATTATTACACTTGATCTTAGCCAAAAGGCCGAGAAGCGATAAGAGTGTATTATTAATTAGTTTAATCTTCAAAATCTACCCTAAAGATCTAAGAAATCTTCTTTTGTTTTTGGTACCAGGGATCAAACTCAGGACCTTGTGCTTTTGAGGCAGGTGGCAACACCACTGAGCTAAATCCCCAGCCCAAGAAATCTTGTTTTTAACAAAGGATGACAGCCGAGTGTGGTGGTAAATATCTGTAATCCCAGCACTCAGGAGGCTGAGGCAGGGTTGCTGTGAGTTCAAAGCCAGCCTTAACTACATAGCAACACCCTGTCTTAAAATAAGCACACGAGAGCTGGGGATTCAGCTCAGTGGTTCCTCTACCTGCCTTGCAAGCATAAGGTCCTGAGCTCCATCCCCAGTACCAAAAAATAAAAAAAGGATGATAAGAACCTGATACATGTCCCCTTCCTCTATAGAATAGCAGATTTCCAGGCAAATTTCTTGGTATACAGCTTTTTTTTTTTTCTTTTTTCCTTTTTCCTTCGGTACAGGGGATCAAACTTGGTAACTTGTGCTTGAAAGGAGGCAGAACCACTGAGCTAAATCCCCAGCCCTTGGTATACAGCTCTTAAATAAATACTCTATTTCTTCTTCCTTTTTTTTTTTTTTTTTTTTTTTTTTTTTTTTTTTTTTTTTTTTTTTTTTGGTACTGGGGTTCGAACTCGGGTCATTGTGCTTGCAAGGCAGGCATCAGAACCACTGAGCTGAATCCCCGGCCCAATACTCTATTTCTAATTATAAACTCACAGCAAAATTTTAAAAAGTAGAAGCGGGGAGTGGTGGTGCACACCTGTAAACCCAGCACTGGGGAGATTGAGGCAGGAGGATTGCTGCAAATCTGAGGTGAGCTCGGGCTACAACACGAGTTCAAGTTCAGCCTGAACTACAGAGGGAGACCCTGTCTCCAAAACAAAAAACAAACAAAAAAAATTAAACACATTTTTTAAAGGCCACTGATTTGTGTTCCTGATCTCAACTCTTCCGTCTCTCCAATTTCGGCTTCTGAGAACTCCAACCTCCGTGTTCACTGGCTCCATCTACTGGAAAGTCAGGCAGGACGGAGCTACAGCTGAAGTAGAGACCCAGGTCTGGAGATGTTTTCCCAGCTTCTCCACCCAGTGCAGGTGAGCAGCCCCATTTTAGCTACGCTCTTCCCAAAGTGGCTGCCACAAAGCCAAGGATTAATTGATTGACTGATTGATTGATTTTTTTTTTTTAGTTGTTTGACTGCCTAGTTCAGGCTGGCCTGGAACACTCTATGTAGCCCAGGGGCTGGCCTCAAACTCTGTCATTCTCCTGCCTCAGCCTCCCGAGTGCTGGAATTACAGGCATATGCCGCCATGCCCAGCTTGGCCCCCTGCTGTCCCTTGTACTGGGGATCGAACTCAGGACCTTGCTCTTGTGTAGCAGGCGCAGTGCCACTGAGCTAAATCCCCAGCCCACCAGCTTGTTTTTTGTTGTTGTTGAGTTGTAAGAATTCTTTTTTTTTTTTTAAATTGAATTCAGGACCTTGTGCTGCAAGACAGGCGGCAGCACCACTGAACGAAGTCCCTGGCCCTATAAGAGTTCTTTATTCTAAAGGTTAGTGCTTTGTGAGATATGTGCTTTGAAAACATTTTCTCTCGTTTTGTGGCTTGTCTTTTCACTCTCTTGACAGCGCCTTTGATGTGCACGTTTTCCTCTGTGTGTGTGTGTGTGTGTGTGTGTGTGTGAGTGTTGACACTCTAACCCAGGGCCTTGTGTATGCTGGGCAAGCACTCTACTACTGAGCTGTGTCCCAACCACAAACATTTTTAATTTTCATGATGCTTTATCTAGTTATTTTGCTTCCCTTGCATGCTATTGAAATGAGAGCCAAAACAAACCTCTCCTCCCTTAAATTGTGTGTTGGGCATTTTGTCCCAGTGACAAGGAGAAAAGTGATATACTACCAAGATAGTAGATATAATCATGTTCTAAGTAAAAAGTTGAAGAAAGAAAAAGTCAGGAGCTGCACTTGTAGCTCAGCAGTAGGGCACTTGCCTAACAGGCATGGAGCCGGATTGGATCCCTGCACCACGGGTGTGGCCCATAGGTGTCACCCGGCACCTCCCTTCCTTCCCCGGTGTTGCAGTTTGAAAACCCTCTGTGTCCACGCACTGAGATCGCTCTCATTCTTCTTAACCCCTGCGTAGTAATTTTGTTATGTGATGCACATGGGCTGATTAACTGTTCCCAGATGCCGTGTATCTGGTTGATTTCAAATTTTTTCCCTACAGTGAGCACTTTTTCTGGGAAGGGGGTACCAGGGATCGAACTAGGGACCTTCCGCTTGTAAGGCAGATGCGGTGCCACTGAGCTAAATCCCCAGCCCACAGTGAATGGACATCAAAAGGAGACAATATTTCCTGGGTCCAAACTACAGTGACATTACTGGAATTCGTCCTTTCTATGGCCATGCCCAGAATTTAAGGGGGTGCTTGTTCCCAAGCAGTGCAGGGCCGGCACTGTTAGGTAGTTTGGAAACTTGTGCATTCTTCAGAACTGCCCAAGGAGGTGACCTTCTATTTTACAGATGAAGATTAAGAGGTAAAGCTACTGGCCCAAAGTCACACAGGTAAGATACGCAGCGGCCAGATTTGCACACACACACACACACACACACACACAAAATTATTTTGTTTGAGATTAAATTTTTTGGGTGGGTACTGAGGATCGAACTCAGGACCTTGCACTTGTGCCACTGAGCTAAATCCATGATCCTGAGACAAGTTTTGTGTTTTTTTTACCAAGTAGTCCATGTTCATTATTGAACTCATTATGTAGCCCAAGCTGGTCCAGAACTCATGATCCTCTTGCCTCAACCTCTCGAGTGCTGGGATTTCAAATGTGCAACACCACACCCAGTCCTGCAGAATTTGACTGCCTAATTCACTCTCTTTCATGGTGTCTGTCTCCCACAGCGAAACATTCAGCATGTGTGTGTGTGTGTGTGTACACGTGCATGATGGAACTCGGGGCATCATGCTTACAAGGCACATAATCTACCACTGCTTCACATTCTCAGCATCAACATATTTTTAAAAAGCACTGAGTGAACACAGGAAGACAGTTACAGCCCAACGTGGTGGTGTGCACCTGTAATTCCTCCTGTGGGAGGTGAGTGAGGCTGAGGCAGGATGATTACAAGTTCAAGTTCCTTCTGGGAAAATTAGAAAGATCCTGTATTAAAATAAAAAATAAAGCCAGGCATGGTGGCACATGCCTGTAATCCCAGCACTCAGAAGGCTGAGGCAGGAGGATTGTCATGAGTTCAAGGCTAGCCTGGGCTACCTAGTGAGTTCAAGGCCAGCCTGAATTACATAGTAAGACTGTTTCAAAAAAACAAAAATATAAATAAATAAATAAAGCCGGATGTGGTGGTGCACGCCTGCAATCTCTGCACTCAGGAGGCTGCTCCAGGAGGATCTCTGTGAGTTTGAAGCCAGCCTGGATGACATAGTGAGACCCTGTCTCAAAAAAAAAAAAAAAAGTGGGGATTTAGCTTAGTGGTGCTGTACCTGCCCTGCAAGCACAAGGTTCTGAGTTTGATCCCTGGCAGTGGTGGTGGTGGTAGATAAATAAATAAATAAATAAATAAATAGGTGGCCTCTAGCCTCTAATCCCAGCACTCGGGAGGCTGAGGCAGGAGGATGACTGTGAGTTCGAGAGCAGCTTGGGCTGCATAGTGAGTTCCAGGTCAGTCTCAACTACATAGTGAGACCCCGTCTCAAAAAGAATAACCAAACCCAAATAAATAAATAAATAGGACCAGGATGTAGTTCAGTGCGAAGGCTCTGGTTACACAGTGCAGATGAGGGTACAGTTATATTGTATTTCTAGATCCCCAATGCGGTTCACTTAAAACTATTAGTCTCAGTATGCTCTCCTCTCCAGGGGTTGAGTGGGGGGGGTTGCCAGACTACATTTCCCGAAATGCTGCGCTTTCTTTCTTCGCGGGCTGTCAAGCACATCGGGAATTGTAGTCGTTCAAAGAAACCATAGTCCACAACTCCCAGGATACTCTTGGCATCTGGCTCCTTTGACAGGAAAAGGACTGTTGTGCAGCATGCTGGGAGGCGGGGCCGACCTTTTCCCAGCTTGCAGCACATAGGTGGAACTCCTGCTTGAAACTACAACTCCCAGAGGGCTATGCGCGAGGGGAGGCGGGCCCTTCTGCCGGAAGTCCGTTCCAGCCCTGGGCACCCCCAACAGCAGGCACGACCGGAGCCACCCAGTCGCCGAGGGACCCAGGCTGCTGGGGACCGGACAGGGGTCGCTATGGTAACGGGGGCTCGCCAAGCCCCGGACCGGCAGAGGGAGGGTCCACGCGCAAACAGCCGAGGCTTGGGTCGGCACTGATGAGCCCCCCCGTGCCGCGGATGGTCTGAGCCAAGCGCGGGCTCTCGGGATTGGGGCCACCAGTGGCTGGAGAGGGAGGAACAGGGCCTTAATTCGCGCCGGGGATGCGCCGCGGTCTCCAGGCATGGGGACACAGGGAAGGGGTGCCCAGGGAAAGGGCTGTGCAGGTGGGAGATATTGGAGGTTGTTGAGGGCTTTTGAAACCGGAGAGGCAACTTGCGCGGCACGGGGTAGGGAGAAGGCTTTGGAGGTGAGAAGGAGGCGTTGGACTGGAATGGGGATGCTGGAACAAGGAGCGAGGTTTCCCTGATAGGAGGGGTCTCCAGAGGCTGGGAACTAGCACTGCCGGCGGAGAAGGGGTGTCGGAGGAGGGAGAATCAGAAGGGGGACTGGGCACTGGAGACCAGAAGTAGGCAACTGCCGGGAACCAGGGTCTAGAGTCGGGGAAAGCGAGGTGCGAGGGGAAAGAGGCTGAGAGCGCAGGGGTGGGCGCTGCGAACGAATGGGGAGCAGCTGCACTGATCTGTCCAGGAGGACTAAGGTCTTGGGGAGGGAGCAGGCGTGGAGGTGTGACAACGGGGCAGGAGGCTCTCGGAGCAGAGACAGCCCCGGATTTAGAGGGTAACCCACTTGCCAGGTTGGGACTTTGGAATTGAGGAATGATTCTTTGGTCAAGGAGTCAGGACAGGGCTGAGTGGGGGAGTGCAAGACTGCGGATGAGTCTCCTCAAGGAACAGGGTCTTTGGAGGCAATGTGACTGTAGTTTTTTGTTGTAGGGGTAGACTTTTTTTCCTTTGAGACACAGTCTTACTATTTAGTTCAGGTTGGCCTCGAACACACAGGAGTCCTCCTGCCTCAGCCTCCCAAGTGCTGAGATTACATGAGTCACCATGCCTGGCAAGATGTGACCATTGGAAGAAAGGAGGCAGCCTTGGAGTTGGAGGAGGGATGTCGCCAGTGAAAGGCTCCTGAGGCTCAAGAGGGGACCGAAACTGAGAAAGTGGAATTCAAAAGAGATCAACTCTGAGGGAGAGGGGTTATAGGGAAAGTTGGGGGGCATCCAGAGGGGACAGCAGGGCGGTGGGAGGGAAGGGACATGGAGAGATTCTAACTGGGAGGAAAAACACAGAGGGGTGTTGGGCAGGAGAGAAAGTGCTGTCCAACCCTCCGGTTCCCTTCCAGAGGCGCCCTGGCTCATCTGCCCCACCCCGCTTCCCCCATGGTCCTTCCTGGGCTAGGAAGTGGTTTTCCCTGGCTCAGCAGAAGGCTTTCTTGGAAGGAGCTCGTAATGCCCTGTTCCTGCCTGTTTTCTCGTTGGGGCCCAGTGGAGTATATGAAGTAACGAGTGAGGTTTAGGAAAGGGGGGTGCTATTAAGGGGCTGGCATGTTAGGGTAGGAGGGTTTGAGCAAAGCCTTTAGGCTCCCAGGTCTTCCTTTCCTTGAGCCTCAGGTTTCTTATCTAAAAGGGGCAGCATTTTGCTGGGCTTAATAGCTGGGTAGGTTGGGGTCTTGTTTTCTCAAAGTGAAGTAACAACAAATTAAAATGCTACTTGAGAGCTAGTGTTCGGTGACACTTAGACTATGCTAGTCCTGTACTGCACCATGTATCCACTGCCCTGTGCCTTGGTCTTATGAAGGAGTTACTCAGTGTATCGATAGTATGGGAAGGGAAGCTGAGCCCAAAGAGATTAAGTGATCTGCCCTGAACACACAGCAATAGTGGCCAAGATGCATTCTGGCTCTAGAGCCCATGCTCTTGGCCTCTCAGATGTAACGATGGCTAATTTTATCTAGGGCTCCCTGTGTGATAGATACTGTGCTAAGTACTTCTGGCTTTGTCTTGTTTTGTAGTACTCATGGTGTAACCCTCGGGCTCGTGATCCTCCTGCCTCAGCTTCCTGGGTAGCCAGGATTACGGGCCTGCACCACCATGCCTGGCTTCATACAAGCTTCTCAGCCAGAACTGATGATTATCATACTTAACATGGGGCCTGAATTCTGAGCCAGGCCCTGCTCCGGAACTTGTCCTATGTTGTTTATTGCTGGTAGCAAACTGAGGCAGTTAGGTCACCTAAGAAAGGACAGGGCCAGGGCTGGGGATTTAGCTCAATGGTTCTGCGCCTGCCTTGCAAGCACAAGGACCCGAGTACTAAAAAAAAAAAAACCCGAAAAACAAAAAAAGAAAGGGCAAGGCCAGAGGTGTAGCTCAGTGGCAGAGCACTGGCCTGGCCTGCAGGAAGCCTTGAGTTCTTTCCTAAGCACTGCAAAAAACAAAACAACAACAAAAAGGCAGACGCTTTGGAACAACAAGTTAGCAAGACCCGGAAAGGTTCAACATCAAGTTTCCATATGACCCAGCAGTTCTGCTTTATGTCTACTCCCAAGAGTCCACGCAAAAACCTGGGCACAACTGCCCATAGCAGCAGTTATTGTGGTGGCCAGGAAGTGGGAATGACCCAGGTTCCCGCCCAGTGAGTGCACAGCCGAGTCAGGGGCCATCGTCTGGATGTTACCACAGGAAGGAACAGAGCCCTCAAATGTGCTGCCTGTGGCTGCGCTCCGGAAGCTCATGTCGGAGCCAAGTGCCTAGAGCCCCGCAGCTGTGCGATGCCACGTCCACGAATGTCCAGAAAGGGCAGGTCCGCAGGGGCGGCTAATAATTGTGGTTGCCGGGGGCTGGGAGGGAGGGGAATAGGTTTATTTGGGGAGCTAATAAGAATGTTCTGGCCAGGCACGGTGTCGCACACCTGTAATCCCAACACTCAGGAGGCTGAGGCGGGAGGATCGTCAAGAGTTCAAGGCCGGCCTGGGCTACATAGTGAGACCCTGTCTCAAAAAATGAAACAGCAAAGTGTTTTGGAATTGGTGGTATTTGTACAACTATGAACATACCAAGGGACTAGTATCCTGAAACCCACTGAACTGTGTACATTTTTAGTGTGAGGATTTTGTGGGATGTGAATTGTGTTTCAGTTTCTTTAAAAGTTGGTAAGCCAAAATAGAAGAAGAAAAGTAACAGAACCTGCTTTATTTAGTTTGCTTTGGCTATTCGAGACAGGGCCTGGCTTTGAACTTACTAGGAGTGCTGAGATCGCTGGTGTGCGGCCGAGATGCAAACATTTACTGAGCGTCTGCCTCACTCTGGCCATTGAGCTAGGGTGATAAATGTATTTAACCTTCAGAAAACCTTGGCAAGGGGCTGGGGATTTAGCTCAGTGGTTCCAGCGGCTGCTTCGAAAGAGTAAGGACCCAAGTTGGATCCCCAGTACCAAAAAGGAAAAGAAAACTTTCGCAATGGGAGAAGGAAGGGAAGTGGCTCCCTGTGGGGATGGGCGGGGCGCCCGGACTCTGGCCCCGCCCCTTCGCTCTCACTTCCCCGCCTCTTCCGGCTCCCGCAGATCCGCTTCATCCTCATCCAGAACCGAGCGGGCAAGACGCGCCTGGCCAAGTGGTACATGCAGTTCGACGACGACGAGAAACAGAAGCTGATCGAGGAGGTGCACGCCGTGGTCACTGTCCGAGATGCCAAGCACACCAACTTTGTGGAGGTGACCAACCCCCGCTTCCTTTTGGGGTACTTTTTCTTTTAAGACAGGGTCTCCCTATGCAGTCCAAGCCGTTCTTCAACTCACTGTGTAGCCCAGGCTGGCCTTGAACTCGCAGTGATCCTCCTGCCTCAGCCTCCTGAGTGCTGGGATGACGGGTGTGCCACTGTGCCTGATGTTTTGGGCGACTTTTCATTGTGAAAAGTTACGAAGGTATTATCTGGTGCAGAGAAAGAAAGAGGAGACTGAAGATCCATACCCCCTACTCAGATTGTTTCAGTGTTACTCTTTCGCCTTCCTGCTCGACCTTTTTTATGTTTTGTGTGTGTGTGTGTGTGTGTGTGTGTGCGCGTGTGGGGGGGATCAAACTCAGGTCCTTGTGCTTGCTAGGCTGGCACTGGCACCACTGAGCTAAATCCCCAGCCCCCTTATTTATGTTTTTGTTATTGGTATTGTTGCTGTTGTCTTTGCAGTGCCTGGGATGAACCCAGGGCCTCATACATGCTAGGCAAAGTGCTCTGCCACTGAGGTACAGCCTCAGCTCTTCTCATTTTTTATCTTGACACAGTCATGCTAGGTACCCCGGGCTGGGCTTGAACTTGCTGTCCTCCTGCCTCAAGCCTCCTTAGTAGCTGGGATTACAGGTAGATATAAGCACATTGAAGTTCCTGTGACTCGGCTTTCATCTCAAAGTCTCCGTCTTTTATTCCTGTGACATTCACCTGTTAGAGAGACCAGGCTGGGGCTGGGGGTACAGCTCAAGGCTGGACCACTTGCTTAACCTGGATGCCATCCCCAGTACCATACACACACAAAAGACCAGGCTGATTTTCCTGTAGAATTCGACAAACAGTAAATATTGCGTCTGGTTTTTTTTGTTTTTTTATTTTTTATTTTTTTTGGTTTGGTTTTGTGAGACAGGGTCTTGCTGTGTAGCCCAGGCTGGCCTGGAATTTGAGGCAGTCCTCCTGCCTCAGCCTCTTGAGTGCTGGGATTATAGGCATGCACCACCGTGCCTGGCAAAGGACTCGAAAAAAGTTAACCACAGGCTTCCTGTGTGCAGGCGCTCTTCTTGGTGCTGAGGGCACCGCAGTGAACGTGAGAGGCATACGTGTCTTGCCCTTGCAGAGCTGACTCCCGCGGGATGGAGACGGGTAGGATGGGCACAGCCTTGTGCTGCTTTTGGGCATCTCACAGCCAGCGACAGACACAGGCCGAGGCCTGGCAGGGTGGCACACACTTGTAATCCCTGTACCCTGAGAGGCTGAGGCAGGGGATTGTGAGTTTGAACCCAACCTGAACAACTTAGCTACTTAGCAAGACCCTCTCTCAAAATAAAACCATATTTATAAAGGGCTGGGGGAGCGTATCTCAGTGCAGGAGCCCTGGGTTCTGCCACCAGTACAAACGAAAAACCAAGAGTAGACATAGGCCTGTCCCCAGATAGTGACCACCAGAATGCACAGGGCTTCTGGGAGGGGTAGGGGAGCCTGGGAGTCAGGAGGGCTTCCTGGAGGAGGGGAGTCAAGGGGAATGACATTAAGTTTTTTTTGTTTCTTTTAGGGAGGATACAGTGAACACAGGACCTTGTGTTTGCCAGGCAGGTGGCAGCACCACTGAGCCAAATTCCTGGTCCCATTTTGTTTTAGAGACAGGGTCTCACTTAAATAAGCTGACCAGGAACTCACCATGTAGCCCAGGCTGGCCTTGTACTCACAGTGATCCTCCTGCCTCAGCCTCCTCAATCCTGGGATTTCCTGCTTCCCTGGGAATTTAGGACAAAGGAAGATGTACCAGTCAGTATCAGGTCACTGGCCTGTGGGTTATGGGTAGGCATTACTGTAATATTAGAAAGCAGATCAGTGTAGAAATTAACAAAAGGTTGAACTGAAAGAGTAGAAAGGCAAGGTCTCGTGTCTTCCCCCAGAGTCGCCACTAGGTGGTGCCATATACACATCCCAGACCTAGGCTTTGGCCAGAATGTGTACTTTGTACCCTAGGATGTGTCATTTTTCTTATCTGTCTCTTTTCTCTTCAATTTATTTTATTTTAACTAAATTTTGTTGTTGTTGTTGTTGCTGGGCGTGGATCCCAGGGCTTCTAAGTGCTATGCCAGGCTCCACCGCTGAGCTCCACCCCAGCCTGTCAATCTCTTTAACTCCACAGACATAAAATCAGAGTGTGTTCCTGCTCCATGGGCTGTTATTATTGTAATATTTACAGGCACAGGTTGAATATCCCTTATCCAAGAATATGAAATCCAGAATCCCAAAGCTGCTGTTGTTTTGAGACAGTTTTTCTATGAGGCCCAGGCTGGTCTTGGCTGCCTTGGCTCTGGTGATCCTCTCGCCTCAGCCTCCTGAATAGCTGGGAATTCCGTCTGTGCCACTGCACCCAGCTCTGAAAAGTCTGAAACTTTTTTTTTTTTTGCCAGAATACTAATGTACACCTGTAATCCCTATATTCTGGGAGGCTGAGGCAGGAGGGTTGCAAGTTCAAGCCGAACCTCAGCTATTCAAGGAGACTTTGTCTCAAAATAAAAACTAAAAAAGGGCTGGGCATGTAGTTCAGTGTGAGTCCCTGGGTTCAAAACCTAGTACCACAAGGGAAAAAAATACGAGACTTTCAATGTGGATAAGAAGCTCGAAAGGTTTTGAGCATTTCAGATTTTGGATTTTCAGGTTAGGGATGCGAAACTAGGAAGTCTATACAGTTTCCGAAACTCTGAGATCTGAAACACTGCTGGGCCCAAGTCAAGGACCCTCGAAGAGGATCACCTGTGATGGAGTCAGTGAGGATGGGGCCCATACTGTGGGTGCAGCCAGGGCCTGGAGCATGCTGGGCAAGTGCTCTACCACTGAGCTCTGTGTCCAGCCCTTTTTTGTTTTTCAATTTGAGACAGGGTCTCGATAAGCTACCCAGGCTGAGCTGGATCTTGAGATCTTCCTGCCTCAGCCTCTTGAATACCTGGGATCTCAGGTGTGCACCGGGCCCTGAGCCTGGAGTGCTCCTGACCACACTCCAGGCTCTGGGCAGACACCCACTCTCCTTAGGGGATGTCCCTGACTTCCAGGTTCCGAGAGGGTGAGGTCTCCCTTAGGACCCTGTGTATATGTGTGTGGGGGGTGTCTGTGTGTCCTTCCACCCCCATGAGTCCTGGGGGGCAGGGCTGGGCACAAGCAGTGAGTGGATTGGTTTCCATGCCTCCCGTCACCCACACCCTCTGCCTGCAGTTCCGGAACTTTAAGATCATCTACCGACGCTACGCCGGCCTGTACTTCTGCATCTGCGTGGACGTCAGTGACAACAACCTGGCCTACCTGGAGGCCATCCACAACTTTGTGGAGGTGCGGGAGTGGCGGCCCGGGGCCCTCGGGTGCTGGGACCCGTCCCTGTCCGTCTGTCCCAGGTCCACCCCGCGCCGATGACTTCAGCCACACCTCTGTGCTTGTCCCAGGCTGTCTGCTCCTTCTGCCACCTGCTGCCCTTCCTCAGCCTGGCTCTTCCCTTTTTCATCTTTCCTTTGGTTTCTTTGAGTCATGGTCTTGCTAACTTGACTTGAACTCACAACTTCCGCCCTCAGCTTCCTCGGTGCTGAGATTATAGGCCTTAGCCTGTGCTGCCATGCCTTTTTTTTTTTTTTTTTTTTTTTTTTTTTTTTTTTTTTTTTTTTTGGTACTGGAGATCGAACTCTGGACCTTGCACTTGTGAAGCAGTGGGCAGAACCACTGAGCTACGTCCCTGGCCCTAGACAGGATCTTGGTACATGGCTCAGGCTTCTGCCACCCTTCTCTGTTCCCTCCCAGCAGCCCTTGTTCTAGTTTCTCTCAACACCATCTTTGTCTGTCTCTTTCCCTAGATCTTTCTCTCCCCTGCTCTGTTTGTTATTTTTGTTTTTGATTTTTTTTTTTTTTTAAGAAGTGGGTCTTGCAAAGTGTTTTCTATTTTTTTGTCTTGTTTTTTGAGACAGGGTCTCACTGTGTAACCGGAGCTGGCCTTGAACTCACTGTGTAGCCCGGGTTGGTCTCAAACTTGCAGTCCTCCTGCCTCAGCCTCCCAAGTAGCTGAGATGAGAGGCATAGATAATCATGGCTCCCTGCCTTGCTCTGCCCTCTCTCCATGATCATTTTCACCCTTGTTGCTTCCTCCACGTCCCCCTTTGCCTTGCCCCCCCCCCGGGTCTCTTCCTGGTCCCCTGGTCCCTGTATCTCTGTCTCTCACCACTTCCGGTCTCCCTCGCCCAGGTCTTGAACGAGTATTTCCACAACGTCTGTGAGCTGGACCTGGTGTTCAACTTCTACAAGGTAGGCTGTGCCGGGAGGGGCAGCCGCGGGGCCCGGGCCGTCCCTGGCCCTCACAGCTGTCCCTGCCCGTGGTGCAGGTTTACACCGTGGTGGACGAGATGTTCCTGGCGGGCGAGATCCGCGAGACGAGCCAGACGAAGGTGCTGAAACAGCTGCTCATGCTGCAGTCGCTGGAGTGAGGCCGCGCTGTGCGCCCTGCTGCTGCCCACCCCGTCCAGGCCCACCTGGCAGCTTCCCCGGAGGAAGGGCCCTGGCGGGGCCTGGGCCACCAGGGAGGACGCCGCACCTGCCACCTCTGGGCCCAGCATGGGCACAGGTGGCCGCCCTGTGTGTCCCAAGTAACCGTGCCATCGTCCCGTGATGCCGTGAGTGTGTGTGGAGCCCCCAATAAACCTGTGGTCCTGCCTGGCCTTGCTGTCTCTGAGTCCCTGTCTTCCCTGGGAACCCAGCCTTGCCCTCAGTCCATCAGCAAGTCAGTCAACAAACAGCCCTCCCTGTGCTGAGCAAGGTGGGATCCCAGCACCCTGCAGACCTGCCCCTGCCTGGACAGGGCCCCGAAACTGTAAGGGTGGACAGGTGTAGACACCAAGTGCTTGGCACTGAACTAACTACACTCAGAGCGTGCACTTAGCAGCCCTGAGACTCTCCCAGGCATTGTTCTGAGGGACTGACACGGGTTACTGCACACTTGACCCTTGAGAGTATAGAAGGAAAAGACTTACTGTCCCTATTTTTTGGATGAGGTCATTGAGTTAAAAGACTTGCCTGGTTCCAGTAGCCAACCAGGCCAGGCCCGGTTTGTTTGCAGCAGGTTTTCTTTCTTTTGGTTTTTTGACAAAGTGCAGTCTGGCCTTGAACTTGGGGTGGTGATCCTCCTGCCTCAGCCTCCTGAGTCCTGGGGTTACAGGTGTGTGCTGCCATGGCTGACAGTAGTTTTTCTTTCACTGTGCTTGTGTATGCTAGGCAAGCATTCTGCTGCTAAGCTTCACTGCTGGCCTTTTAAAATTATTTCATTTTGATTTTTTAAAAAAATTTTTATTTTGAGGCAGTCTTACAAAGTTGCCCAGGCTAGTATCAAACCTGTGAACCTCCTGCCTCAGCCTCCTGGGTAGTGAGGGTAAGAGCTGTGCACCTAATTATTTTGTGTATGGAGAAACTGATAGGTGCATTCCTTTATGTCAGACTTTTAAAATAAATACAACAGCGTATCGCCTTTCTGTTGCTTCAGTAACAATTACCATAAATAAACATAATGGCTTAGAACGACACAGATTTTTCATTTTCTAATTCTGGAAATAAGCCTGAGCTGGGCACAGTGGAGCATACTTATAATCCCAGCCCTTGAGAGACTGAGGCGGGAGCATCGCTGAGTTCAAGGCCAGCCTGGGCTCCACAGCAAGACCCTGTCTCAAAACAAAGACCCTCAGGAAGCTGAGGCAGGAGGGTTACCCGAGCCCATGAGTTTGAGGCCAGCATGAGCAACACAGAAGAGACCCTGCCTTGGAAGGAAGGCCAGGAGGGAGGGAGGAAGGAGAGGCTGTCGGCCGCCCCGCAGACCCGCCCGACGCTGACTAGCTGACTACGGACGCCTCCTGTGCTGCTGCTGGGAAGGCAGTCTGGGCGGCCCCTTGGACAGCGGCCGGCCGGGCAGCTTCTCACAGAGGTGAACACACTTGCCTGTAACTCAGCAGCCCCTCTGGCTTGTTTACCCAAGAGAAATAAAAACTTGGGCACATACACAACCCTAGCTGCCTTATTTCCCCATAGCCGAGCGCTGGAGTGCAGCCGGATGGCCACTTTCTAGGGACTCGGTGAGGGAGACTGCTCCGCCCACAGCGGAATAACATCTGCGGAGGCCGAGCCAGGAGGGTCACAAATTCAAGTCCAGCCTGCGAAACAAGACTAGGGAAAGAAACCCTGTCTTGCTGGAGGTCAAGGTAGCTGACTTGCCCAGGCTGCCTCCCGGAAGGCAGGATTCCGGTGGCTGACTGTACGCGCTGTAACTGCGCGGTAGGGCGCCCTGGTGAGGCTCAGTGGGAAGGGCCTGGGGCTCCCTGCTCGGCACGTGTGGGGGGATCGATCCAGTCAGCTCCCTTAACACCTACGCTCTGGACGTGGAGCCCCCGGAACTCGCGAGACGGTCATTTCGGTTGGTGAAGCTGGAGTTTTGGGCCTTTGTCGTTGGGCCCAGGAAACAAAGACCGTGGGAAAACAGATCTACGGAAAGGCAGGGTAATTCCGAGGGCAAAAGTGAGCACTAAGGAGGACTCCAGATGCAGCCTTTGCAGCCAGGGAGCGTGACTCTTGCGTAAGTAACAGTGGAGAGCACATTAACAGCAGAGCCCAGATTGAACCGCCCACAGCTGCGGAGAATCAGGGTTTTTTGTTTTTTGGTACCGGGGATCAAACTCAGGTCCTTGTGCTTGCGAGGCAGGCGTGGTGTCACTGAACTAAATCCCTGGCCCAGATCAGGGTTTTCTTTACAGTGCTGGGATCTGAAACCAGGGCCTCGCGCATACTGGACAAGTTCTCTGCTTCCGAGCGGTTCCCTAGCCCTCCGATAAATGACCAAAGCCACCTTTGTGCTGCTGGGGAAGGAGGAGGAAGCACATAAAAAGCAGAAATCACCCCTGTCTCAATATTGGGGGGGTGAAATAATTAAAAGGCTTGGGAATGTAGCTCAGTGTGAAGGTCCTGGGTTCAGTCCCCAGTACTGGGGGAAAAATGTGATGAACTTCCTTATTGTGGAGGTGTGGTAGAGAAAAACTTCTTAGGACACCAAAGTACCAACCAGCAAGGCATGGTGGCACATGCCTGTCGTTTCAGCACTTGGGAGGCTGAGGCAGGAGGATCACCATGAGTCTAGAGACCAACCTGGGTGACACAGTACTACAAAGTACTAATCCATAAAAGAAAAGACTGATCAGTTCTGCCTTGGAAGTCAAACACCATAAAGGAAATGAAGACAACCCCCAGACTGTGGAACGACAGCTGTCACACACATCACCAACACAGGACTTCATGTCCACACTATGGAAAGAGCTCCTACAAATCAATATAAAAGATAACGGATCGGACTCTACCTCACCAACACACCAAAGAGCTGTGGTTAACTGCAGTACTAGCATCAAAACAAGCCCGGCTGGGGATTTAGCTCAGTGGTTCCGCCGCCTGCCTGGCAAGCACAAGGTCCCGAGTTCGATCAGTACCACAAAACAAAAACAACAAGCCTGCCTTTGCTAACCTCGTTTTCCTAAATAGTTGTTGTTAACAGCAGAGGTCCAAGTAGAGATGGGCCTGGGAGGAAGTGAATGCAGGCAGAGATGGGAGAGGTGATTTTCCTTCTGGCCTGGGGAAAGGAAAGGAGGCGTCGCCTGCAGGGAGAGTGTGCGGCTGCTCTGCGGCTGGCTCCTCACCTAATGCTTACCCCAGCCTTACCAGAGTTAACCTGGCCGCTCCCCTCAGCCATGCAAGCCACACCTGGCTGATGATTTTTTCTATTTTGAAACAGGGTTTCTCACGAAGTTGCTAAATTACCCAAGCTGGGCTTGAATATGCCACCCTCCTGCCTCAGCCTCCCAGAGTGCAGGACTCCAGGTGCGTGCCCTTGTGCCTGCCTCCCAGCGCACACTGCAATGGTCAGGAAGGGAGCCCTGATGTGAGGCTGCACAGAGGGATTCAGCCCTCACTTCTGGAAGCTGCAGAATGGCCGCTCCTTTCCGGGAGCACAGGCTGGGATCTCCGAAGGGACTCGGGACTGCCCTGTCTTCCATGCCCCAGCTCCTGGCCAGTGGGAAAGCCTGTCGCCCTGACCGAAATGTCCCCAAAGCTCACTCCTACTGCTAGCCCAGCTGCCGTCACCTTCCACCTGAACATGCGGCAATAGAACATTTTACAGAAGCGAGATGCTGGCCAGGGCGTGGTGGCGCACACCTGTAATCCCAGCACCTGAGAGGCTGAGGCAGGAAGATCACCATGATTTTGAAGTCAGCCTGGGCTACATAGTGAGTTCAAGAACAGCAAGAACTATAAAGTGAGACCTTGTATCAAAAAAAAAAAAATTGAGATGCTACCAGTCCCCTCCTCAAATCCCTCCTGTGGCTCCTGCCTCACTCAGAATAAAAGCCAAAGTTCTTATGTGACCCCTGTGACCTCACTTCCCACCCATCGTACACACTGGCTTCCTTTATATCCCTTAACTGTGAGGCACAGCACTGCCTCAGGGCCTTTTCACCTGCTGCTCCCATTTCTTGGCACACTTCCCCACTATCGCTGTGGCTGTCTCCCTCAGCTCTTCCGGCTCTGTTCAGACCTCCCTCACTGCTTTAGCTGGGCCTTCCTGACCTCATCATAGATAGTTGCCCTTCTCCCTATATGTCGATCATATCACCATGTAGCTCCTATTTTTTATTTTGATCACATTTATCACTGACATATTCCACATACAAAATATAAAATGAGGGCTGGAGGTGTAGTTCAGTAGCAGATCAGTTGTGCAGCATGTTTGAGGACCCAGGTTCTATGCCTGTTGTACGCAGGGTCTATGTCAAAAATGAAAGAGGCCCTGGGTTCGATCCCCAGCACCAAAAGGGGAAAATACTGAACAACAAAAACCTACGTGGCCCGCATTATATTTCTGCAGGCGGAACTACGCAGTCTGTGTTGCTGGTTTATTCCTTAACTACTACTAGGATATCCGGGCTTTTGGTTTATCTTCCACTAGATCCCCAGCACCAGCATAATTCCTGGCACACAGCAGGCCCTCGATAAATATTTGCAGACTGAACAAATGTCACAGATCTCTTTCCTGGTGACCTCTCTCTGGCAGGAGCGCTCAGACTCCCCCTCCTTCCACCCAGCACCCAGCTTCTTCCTCCGCTCCCAGGGTCGGGACTCAGGGTGGGAGCCAGAAGGGGTGGGCAGAGAGATTGGGAACAATCCCGAAGGGCTTCCTAGAAGCGGCGGTGACCGTGTGAGAGGAGCCCCAGCCCAGGAACGGCTTCTGGATGGGGCTCTCCCCTGCCACGGTGGGCCTGGCTGTTTCCATGGAGATGGCTGCTAGGCCCCGCCCCCAGCCTGTGAAGAAGCGGTTGTCATGACGACCCCATTTCCTGAGGATAGTGCGGCCGGTGCCAGCCAGATGCCCTTTGGATGGAATTAGACTGATGGGAGATAAAAATAGCAGCGAGGGAAGCGCTAAAGGCTCGGCTCCCTATCAGCTGCCCCAGTTCTTTGATTTCTTGTCCCCACCCTCTCTGATCCCTGATCCCCGTGTCCGGCTCCGCACCCACAGCGTCCTAGCAGCCCTGTGGGCGAGTCCCTTCTCCCCTCTCTGCGTGGGCCTGACGGGAGACACCGACCGGACCCCGACTGGACCCCGACTGTCCATCCGCCGGGCTGCAGCTGCCACC